CTTTCTTCGATTTTTGAAATTTTGTATAATAAAAAATTATTCTACAGCATACATATAATACTTACCAATCATACTTTAACTTTAAAAAATTACAGCTAAAATTTTAGAGCTACAGCAAAAACGTCTATAGACAAAATTGTACAGCAACTAATTTACAGTTATGGCCGAACCAATCACCCACAACATTTTTTTGCTCTTAAATGCTGCTTCAACCTTATAATGAATGTGCTATTACTATTAGAGATACTATTCAACGATTCTCATTTATGATAATCGCGATATGCTATCACGTTGATTACTCCCTCATTATTGTACGATATTGTCTTTCTATTATTCTACTTGTACATTCCGTATAAAAGCCCTATGTAATCATCTCTTTGAAATATACAATTAGAACATCTTCTTAGTTATTCCTTTTTTTTTTTTTTCACGATCACATTTCAATCCTACAAACTAGCCCAGTAAGAGGACCGAAGTGTTAATATATGAAAATATTAAATTTCGCTGTCGGGCGTGCCGGGCCAGAAGATCTGTCCTAGCATTTTTCTCCCTTGGACAATACCGTATGGTACATTCTGGAAAAGACGTCCGTAGTTCTTTAAACTCGTCCAACTCCGTCTTCTTTTTGAAATAATGTAAAATTCCTATTCCATCAAAATCTTGTTTTACAAGACATGTTGCCGTGTGTTGAAGCAATATTCAGAACATAAGTTTGATCACTTCCACATGAAAAAACAGAGCATTTTTCGACGAGAGGTTCTGAGGCTTGATGAAGGTTAATGAGAGGCAAACCAAAAGGTCATTAACCTTCATCTAGTCTCGTCATTTCCCATCGGGACAATGCTCATATGGACCACTTGGCTGTGTCACTTTATCAATTAACACAAACCACCTGTGTTCGATGATACCTTATGCCCGAATTTAAAAACTCGTGTGCTTCCTCTTATTAACTATTTGTCCTTCATGTTATTTAACTATTTCCATTGATTCTTGATAAAGTATTTGTAATTTTGTTTAGTAATCGTTTTTCCTATCTTGACATGGACTTTATATGGATCAACCAATAGTATATAGGGCGAACTGCAAGAATAACCAATAAAAAAATAATAATTCACAAACTAACTAAAACTAGCCTATGTAGCTTAATCAAGTCCATTAGAATTAGGGTAAATGGTTAGATTTTAAATTATAATTTTTTTAATGTTATTAAACCCAATTTCCCTAGTATATAAGCCTTTTATTTTTTTTGAAAAAAAAAGAATGAGATTTTGACTTCACCATTGCTTTTGAGTTTAGAAACTTTGAAGATTGTATAGAAGCTAATTCGTGAATCCAATCTCGCTCCACTCACAGACTTCAACCCCGTATACGGCTACAATACGTATCACTTATACATTTAGCCACAGAAATCGATTTTGCCACAATCTCTTCCTCTGTATATCGCTAAATACATATTGTGATAATACATAGAGAGACTATAAGTCGGTCAAATCGAAAAAGATCATATAACTTGATTAATAGACCCAAGTTTGAAACTTATAACTTGAAAAGAGGTTAATAACAAAATAAGAGTCTAACTCGGTCAAATCGAAAAGATCATATAACTTGATTAATAGACCCAAGTTTGAAACTTATAACTTGGGCTTGATACGTCAAGCTACTACTAAATTTGCTTTTGCATGGTAAAGTAACAGATCTCAGTGATGTTTACTCAAATCACCAAGACCAATGTGTCACCCAGATACTAACATAGAGCTCACTCAACAACCATTTTTGTTTCTTTCAGCAACTTAAACATAACTTGTCTTCTCTCAAGTAAAGAATAAAGATTCCACCTTTATGCAACTCTCTTTGATA